AGTTCTTTTCAGAACTACACTCACCCGGACGATCACACTATACGAACTAAAACTAAAACTATTAATACACTATTACTCCTATGACCCACTTTTTCCCCATACTAATTCCTCCAAATTTGATTTTAATTCGCAGAAATTGTATCGATGACGAACAAGATTTCGGTGCAACTAAATCTGGGTGTCGTGCGGAAAACACTGAAGCAGAAAAACCATCCGAAAGGTGCAACTTTTGTTTCCCGAAACTTCCTTCTTTTGTCCTCAGAAAATGCCGGCAAAATACCGGCTGCCTTGCACAAAGCTACCACGTGTCTGATGTTCTTGCATGCACGTGTCAGAATTGTGACACACCGAAGTCCCCACAGACAGGGCGTATTTGCTTAGCAGCGTCCTGGCTTATCTGTTCAGTCCCAAACTGCAGAATAACATTTGCCCTCACTGATTAACGTTGGTATAAAAAAACAATAGCCTCCATTTGGCGTGAAAATATTCTCGGAAATTTGTCAGAAGGTAACAGTTTTCCGAGAGCGTAGCTGGAGGAAAACTGTGAGCTTCGAGGAACAGATAATGTCCAAGGACAAATATCTGAGCATATTTTCGCCCCAAATGGAGGCTATTGTGTTTATTATCCTCGAAACTTTTTCGCTACACGCGAAATTTTGAAAATTGGGGAATATCACTCGGATATTCCCCAGTTTTAGCTGGGACATATTCGGTTACGTGACGCGTTTAGACCAATCGCGCGTCAGCGAAAATATTTGATGGATTATAATTGATGATATTAATTGGTTGTTACAGTGTTTGTCGAGAGGAATTCGGGCGGTTTCAGAGCATAATTTATTTGTTGTTAGGTCCGTTACTTCTCATGAGGTAATGCTCTAGCTCACCAGTTTTTCACCTTTTTAACAGCCAAAGAGATCAATCAAAGTTGAATGGTTCCATGTGGGAACTGGTGAGAAAATACATCAGGTGTTCTTCGCGAACCACAATCGGCCACATCAAGAAATACCTCAAACTCAAGTTGAATCTTTCTGCTGTTGATCAGGTACAGATCACAAAATCAGTCAACTTCCTTCAATTTCCAACCGATCATGGATAGACTAGCGCACCATTACCCAGGATAGTCCCCCGGAGGGGGGACTCCAATATAAAAAGGACGGGGGTCGGTGCTGGTCGGAAATTTTGAAAAGTACCCCTAAGAGATATCAAGATCCTGTTCAGTGGGCATGGCTGGAAGTTTTTTTTTTTTTTACCCCTTAAAAATACCAATTTTATATTATTATATTCTCCCGCTGGGGACCTTTTGAGGCTAAACAACCCAGGAGGTACCAAAACCTTTTTTTTTTTGACCCCTAAAAGGTACGACGAGCGCCCCCGTCCTTTTTATGTGGGATTTTCCCCCCGCCCCCCGCCTCCCCCTCTTCCCGGGAGATAACCACCGTTAATAAGGTCGTTTCACACCATTACTCTTTGCTGTAACATGTAGCAGCGACAAAAAAAATTCCCTGCAAAATGAACAGACCTTTATGTTGAAAATTGTCCAAGAAGCAAACTTCAAAAATAATCATCGTGCAAAAGACCACACCTTTAATAAGTCCCTTATTGATCAATCTGAAACCACTAAGTGCACGGGAGAAACTTTCCTGAAGTGCACTTCAAGAAGGAGATTGTCATTGTAAAACATTCTTTTAATTGTCCATCATATAAAAAAAAGCCGCTTTCATTGACCATCACAGGTTGAAGTGATGTGTAACGGAGAGATCATGGGCAAAGACCACACTCTGGAGTTTGTGTTCATGACAAGATGGAGAGTAACGGTGGGTAAAGCCAAGCACAATAAATTGTTGAGTTTCCGTCTGAAAAATACCTTGAAGAATTTAGAATTCAATCTGAATGTCTATCAAAACAGATGCAAAGAATTAATTTTTTCGATCTTCAGTAAGTTGCGTACGGCTGGAATTACTGGAGTGAATTGCTCGTTCATGAAATCGAAATAATGGTAACCACTGCAGTTGAAAAACACGTTATCCCAGATTTACATGTAACTATTGATATGTTACAATAGCATCTCGTTCTGTAATCTGCGATCAGGTGTTCTACTTTTCGCCGAAAAAAAGAACACCTGATCACAGGTTACTTGTTCTGATGTAGTTCATTGCTTCATTGGTCCAAGCAGTGAAAGCAAATGCACCATTCCGTGTCATGTGCATCGATCATTATCTGCTTCTGATCAGAGTTATTTTTGACGTTTTCATTTTCGTGCCGTTAGGTTTTCAGTAGAGTGATATACACTGTAACGTTAATTTTTTTTGCGGGATCTTCTTGCCTTTTGCGGAAGGCTAAAGAACCCGCAAAACATAATCACAAGAATGGTGAACCGCAAATTTTTCATCGCATGCTTGCTCCATGTTATAATAGTGTCTCTGATTTGTTGATACTTGTAAGCGGAACTTCAAGCAACAACCGACCAACCAATGATCAGTATGGCATTTTTCAGTTGAAATTTGTCATCTCTTTCGGTTCAGATGTCTCTACCGGGGCCAGAGTTGAGGGCAGAGAGAAAGAGAGACGCTCCTTTTACTAGCTATGTCAGAAATAATTTCACTCTTGTGATATTTTTAAAGCCGCCAAACAGCGGATCACAGATAGCCACAGATCGCTACAGGTATCGGAAAGATTGAAATCTTGTAAAGATTGCCATTGAAAACTCCACTGGTTTTCAAGTGATTCAAATCATTTGTAACAGAAAGATAACATCAAAAATTTCTTGTCTGTGCCTTTTTCACGTTCTGGCGCGGTTTTACTGCAGTTTTTTTTTTTTTTTTTTTTTTTTTGTAGTAGCTTCCAGGTTGTCACTTGTCTTCCGCTCGCTGTGTCAGTTTCATTACAAGAACTTTATTGTTCCTTTTCAGTCTTATTTCATCTAACTGTCATTTTCTCTCCACAGGGCAATGCAATTTTAACCCTGCAATATCGACCCAAACTGGACTTCCTATGACGAATGGAATCATAAATAGTAATTATGAATAGGTGTGATAAAAATGAAGAAACGGATGTACCAGCGTATCGCATCACTTTCGCTTATTTCTAGTTCCTTTGCTTACTGAGTCATTTGTACATCCTTTTCTCGCGCTTATATATCGCAAAACCAGTTAAACTCGAGTTGACAGGGAGGGTCACGTGGAATGCCATTTATAACATCTCTTGTATTTGAAACGATTTTCATCATTGTTAGTTCCAGCTTCACCATGAGCATACAAATTGTCTATCGTCCCCTCCTTCCTTGCCAGTCCGCTGTCTTATATCACGCTGCAAGGGAAACCTGGAAAGGGAACAAAGCCCTGCTTCCGCGCCACAAGATCTGTGATGAGATAAGATCCCTTTTACTCTGCCAATCGTAATAATGCTGAGTAGCTTGTCGTCCTAATAGACTAACTGAAATCGCTTTTGTAGAATTCAGTTTTTATAGTGTCGAAAAGTGCGAATTCAGCTTTTATAGTGCCAGAAAAAGGTATTTAGGTACCAAGTGGGAGAAGTTCAAATTAGATAAGTAGACTTTTGAGATAGTCGGTGTAACTACGAGTTAGGCTAAAAATATCTGAACAACTAAACCAGAACCTGAACCCCGGTAACTACACGATCTAGTCGCTCTATCTAGACTTTGAAATTACATTTATACATTTAAGAAAGAAACTCAAACTAGCCTTCCAGCATCATGAATTACATAGGTGAGAACAAGGAGAATTTTCAGGAATTTTAAGGATATTAAGTGAGAGGTAGCCAAATTATTGTGATCAAATTAACGGCGAAGTCGCGCCGGTCGGTCATCTGCACATGTTCACACCATGTTAACCAAGAGTGTTTACTTGGTGTGAACAGGGTAGCCACTAAGGTAACCACGTTGCTTGTTAAAATACTTTCTCTTTCTACTTTTGAACTTTGAAAAGTTTATTATTACATATAGTAAGTTTGTTCAAGCTGAACTTCGAGCAGTTCGGCATCAAAACAATTAAAAATATCTTTTCCGTTAACGTCTTGTTAGTTTACCATCTTTTAGTAGTGACTGGAAATATTTCATTGTTATCTAATTTTGTGTCTATTTGTTTTGCCGTTCAAGTTAAGGAGGAAGACTTGGGGTAGCATCATGTAACTTTTCCGTGGAGATATTTACCTAAACTTTGTATTTTCGACAAAAATGTTTGTAAACTTAGGAAAGAGCATCGTCCTCTTTAAAAGACAATTCGTAATTCTATCATTATATGAAGCAAAGAAAGTTGACTTGAATATTGTTTCTCGTTTTCCGTTCGAAATGTGTAACTGAAGTAGGTTGCAATTAAATACCGGCACATTTCGATACTATCAAATATTGTAAATATTGTATACAGAAATGTAATGTTTGTAAGAAAAATCTAATCATAAAAGTAATATAAAAACTTTAATAAATGGTTGCAGTTTTACAGTGGTCCGAGTTATAATATTATGAAATAAATTACAATATTTAGAGAGGAAGCCACATCAGCCTTACCTGGTTTTCATGCAGGTCCTCTATCCTGATGGAATTGGAATTGGGAGTGTTGGTTTTTGTGGAGGGAGAAAAACCGGAGAACCCGGAGAAAAACCCTCGGAGCAAGGATAGAACCAGCAACAAACTCAACCCGCACATGGCACCGGGCCGAGATCCAGCCCGCGTCATACTGGTGGGAGATGAGAGCTCTCACCACTGCGCCATCCCGTTTCCCTTATTGTGACTAACTGAAAAGCTCCGTAAAACAATACATTTCGCCGCAATTAAGAATCTTAGCTAGATATTAGGATCTTATCTTCACAAGGTACCCGTGCAAGTTAAAGAATCTGCTATCTTGAATTTTTCTGACTGGAAAAGACATTCAATAATCACAAGATCTGGGGACGCAATGGTGTCGCCGTGAGACAATGATGGGTGCGACTATGATTCAGTGAAAATATCACTAAAATATCATATTTGACTTAAAAAAATAGTTACAACAAGTTTTTGATCTAGGGATATATAAGCCGATAGAAACCGTGAGCAAAAGGTCAACAAAATTTTAATAGAAAAAGAACTGTCGTGAGGACATTTTTTTTACTTGAGGCTATTTGAATGGAAGCAGAAGGTTGTCATACATTCAAGTTATTTTCTCTATCCATCACGTATATCCTCCCTCATATAAACAATCACTAATTTAAGGCCGTTTGCCCCGGCTGCTCGGTAGAATTTTAAATAATCCAAAAGTCATCAATAAACGGAAGATGAGCGATTTTACTTGTTACTGTCAAATCACGCTTCCGTAGTCTTATGACGTCTCCAAACTCCTGAGCGTCTAAACAGGACTGAAATCAAGCGGAAGCTTGCCGTCTTGAGTCTTCCGTGAATAAGATGCTAAAGACAATTTTCGGGCTGGGAGAGGGTGAGAGCTGATTTGGTTTCAAAGAGGAGGAGCACTGGAAAGCTCATATGGTTAAAGTATCATCCAACCAAAGGAAAAGTCTTCTTTTCTTTTTGTGTGAGTTAGACTAAGTCTTCGTTTGGTTCGTGTTTCGGTTTCATCCGTTTAAGATAATATTTTCAAATAAAAAAGTGACTTTAAAATCCGCCCGTTGTGGCTCAACTGGTTATTCCTTATAATTTAAATGGAAAGCGCGGATTTAACCAACAAGTAAGCTTAGAAACAAAACAAGAAAATTTGTGCCTCAGTACCGCACTGTTCGAGCAATGTAAACTTTGGAGCAGGTAACAGTTACGCAAGTTTTGGCTGTCAGGTATCGGGACCGCAGGTACTGTTTAATTTATTCCTTGACTTATTGTATGATACAGAAGTGTTCAGATCATTTTCGCACTCAACGTAATTCAGTAATTAATACAAGTAACATGCACTGACTGTGATCTGTCTCCAACGCCCGAGTATAAACCGCTACTTGGCTCGGTCGCAGTCACTGTTAGAAAGCCTTGTGACTTACGTGCACGTTCTCGTTTGTTTTTGAGTGTTGAAGTTAGTTCCCTGGTGATGCCTATCTCTCTAATTTGTAATTTTGTCAGATCATTTTACAGCAAGCCCCGATCTAAGTTTGCACCCCGTACGGCAAAATGTATTTTATGTGCATAGTAAATGGATATCTTGCTGGGCTGCGCCACTTCCAGTAAATAAACTAAAATAAAATCAGCCAGTGAAAAGCTCGCAAACTTAATTTAAATGTTAGCACTGTGTTATGCTGTCGCCAAGATTGACATGATATGAAGTTAAATTGATATTTCCCCAGTCGGAAAAATGACTTATTATTCGCAAGGAAACAGCTGTACCTTGGCAAATATTTCACGGACATCACAAACATTCACTGCTATCATGCAAACCTACTCTGAATTGTACATAATTTTTCAAATAACCTATGAGCATATTAAATATCTGAAGTTTCTTTCGCTTTAATATTTCACCGCTGATATCAAAAGCCGGCATAAAGTTGCCCGGTAATTGTTAACTTATAATATCATCAGTATAATTTATCTATATTTCGTTTGCTGAGTTGGTGCTCGATAGTGTAATAAATGAAGTCCGAATACTTCACTTTGGGTGATATTTATTCATGGAAGAAAAGAAATAAACGTATACGCCTTGTATCGAATTCTCGCCACGTAGAGGTCGCATTATTTTGAAAAAGTTATATTTGCTAGGCAACCAAACTGACTAAGAGAAAACGTTATTAATAGGGCGCTTCAAGTTGACCCAGTCAACTTAGCATAAGTAACCTAGCAAGAACAGTTCCAAAAAAACGAGAAGTGTTTTCAACATTTGAGTAAAAGGTAAACCGATATTTTTCCCGACTCGACTGAAGTATATATTTATTCAAGTTATGATATTTTCCTGAAAGTCGTCAAACTGTTATTTCTTCAGTTCCTATTTTTACTTTCAGAAAGAAAAACTTTTGAATAATAAAAAAATACAAATAATTTAAAATCAAACGGTACTGAACCTTTATAGATATCATATCAAGTTATGATATTTTCCTGAAAGCCGTCAAACTGTTATTTCTTCAGTTCCTATTTTTACTTTCAGAAAGAAAAACTATTGAATAATAAAAAAATACAAATAATTTAAAATCAAACGGTACTGAACCTTTATAGATCAAGAATAAAGGAATTAAATAGCAAGATAGTTTGTTTAATTTGAATTGTGTCGTTTGCATTGTTATTAGTTCTTTTATAACGCGCGTTAGAGCCGAACACTGTGAAGAGCAGAACTGCCAGTCACAAGTGTTTACTTATTACGATTTCTAAGATAAACACGAGTGTGCTGCGACATGGCAATATCGCGTATCGACTACAGAATTGAAATACTGTATTTAAAACCACGACCTGACAGATAAATTCTAGTATTAAATATCCAGCGAAATGTCAGTATTTTATGCTGGCGGTGTTTACCAATGTGTGGCACATTATTATACCCCACGTGGGTCGATCGGTTCCTAAAGAATTAAACTGATGAGAAATCATTGACTAGGATTTGCCTTACCAACGTTTTCTAATATTTCACTTTGTGATCTGGCCGTGATGTATTCAGATGTAAATGTTTAATGAGTATGGTGTAATTTTTTGTGTTTTGAGGCTTAGCCGCGTTTCTCAGATATTCACTGAAGATTTACATAATAACATTATCCATCTCTCCTTCTGTCAATTCTTATCAAAATATTGCTTTAGCATTTCTAAGTTTAGGAAAACAATATAACACTAAATTAAGAAAGCTGTTTTTGTCGCACGCCAGTTTATCTTAATTTCTGCAATTAAATCAGTGAACAGAAAACAGAGAAACGCTTGCAAAGTTTTGTTATAAATGAAAACACGGACATAAATACAATTTCATTGCTCCCTCGCTAATTTTTAATGTCAAAGAAAACCTAGAGACATTCACGTCATGAAAGGCCATTAAGATATTCAGCTTTTGTTTATTGCACCTTGCTTGTATTGTTCGTCTGTTTTTATTTCTTCATGTTTTCTGTAAATGATGGAACACGAAATAACTTACACATATCACTTAGCCACAAACAAAGAATAACTGGCCAAGATCTTATCGAAGGGAGGTTTGATTTCCAGAAGATGTTTTGAGAAGTTGATTATTTCATAGTCTCGTGGAAACTGAAAGAAACGTAAACTTAAAGTGACCATTATTCAGCAATTAACAAGTTGGTGCGTTGATTGTAGCCGAGTTTTTAAGTTGATTCACAGGAGTCTCGCCTCCCAATGATTATTTAGATATTTCCAGCTGATGAGTTAATAAACAAGTTTGCTGATTCATCCAATTGGCGGCGTGGGTTTTATCCGGGAATCTTCATCACTCGCGACCGCAGGCCACATGAATAGAGGTCGTAAAGAAATTAGCTGTGTTGTCACAGAACACAGACGAAATTGACAACGCCGGCTGCAAGTCTGTCCAGTTTCAAATGGCTGTTCTTCAGGTAAAGGAAGTCAAAGTCTAGTCTCTTTTTCACAATCTTATTTTCAAATAATGCCTTTCTATTTACTTCACATTTTAGACCCGTTTAATATTTATTTCAAAGCCGGTGTTATCTCAAAGGTTGAGTAATTTATTGGTAAAGGGCCATATGCAATGGCGGCAAGTTGAAGCTTGTCTTAACCTTTTCACTGCTTACGTCAATAATTTGCAACAAGCATTGACAGAACTGAAACTTATGACGTGCTCTCAAGGAAAGAGAAACACAATGCCGTACTTCCTTCCTGCCAGTAATATTCCTTGTAAAAATCATGATTATACCACTAGGGTCACTTTCCTCATAGTCTGTCCAAATGTGATAGTTGAAATTCCAGCCAGTTATATCGGGTTAAAATACGGTAAATATTTTAATACTGACCAACATGGTACAAATCTAGTGTCACTTAGATTATTACCTTTATAATACCCCGCTAATCATAATCAGTTGCTCGGGGGATTCGATTCCATTAATCACTCAAAAAAACAACTGTGGCTTAAGTGTTCCTCCACCGCAGTGATGTTACAAGTTACTTGAAGCAAAATTTGACAAAATGGCGCTATTGAATTCAGGCCACTGCATTAATTATGGCGAATGAAATTGTCAAATATCAGCAGAAATTGTTTTAATTCTGTTTTGATTAAGCTCCACCGTCAAAGAAAACATTCATATTTTTTTGCCGTCGAACATCAGGTTACCCTCCGATGAACGACTGACACCTGTTTACGGAATAGATTTGAAAATTTGGCTGGGAATTTCATCCCGCTAAACAGTTTAAAAGGCAGAATAGCTTAATCCAGAAAATGCGAGTGCTTTTAAAATATTGTTTGACGTTCAATGTTATCTATGATTTGTATGTTCTATTAGTCAAACAGGGAGAGAAAACTCAAGCTTCAAGATCTCAACTCGTTTATTACATGCGAAATTTGCAGAGGATATTTGATCAAGCCGACAACGATCACAGAATGTCTTCACACATGTAGGTACCGGTTGAGCGCCACGCATTGTTACAAACGGCAATAATTTTGGACGCGATAAAAGAATATAAGCCCCGTCCATCGCTTCTGGGAGTTAAATAATCAACAAAACCAGTATCGAGTTGGATAGAGCAAATACAAACGCGTCTTTTCCCTTCAGTAAAATGAAACGCAGCAATTTTGCGAGACTGTCGCATCCTCATTGCACGAAAAAACATCTGCTTACGTTTGTTATGTACGACCATCAAACACTATTCATTTCTTTATTAGTTTAACTCAGGGAGGCGAAACTTTTACGAGTGTAGCTTTTGGCGGCGATTAAACGAAAGTTTTTGCTTGTTTCGCTATGTTTCGCCAAAATGATCTCTCCGGCAACTACTGTTCAAACGGCGAAGACTGAACTCTGCGCTTTGCTTCGAAACGGGTATTAAAAACCTATCCACGCTAGTGTTTTACGAGTGATTCTCCATTTGAGAGTCATAATTATTCATAAGATGGCACACTTTTGACGCTTTTAGATAATTTTATTAGATACAACAGTGGGTAGTGATAAGCCTAAATTATGGTAACAATTGTGAAACTTATAACACGACCAGTCGGTAAATGTGGCCTTATCCTGTCAACAACGGCGAGAAGTGTTTTCTACATTGGAGCCGCGGGAGAATTAAATGCTTTCTACGCCAACGGCGAATGCTTTACGTCGCTACAGCTGGAGTGGAAGTCCGCAATTGTTCAAGTTTTATTATTTATTCTGTGTCCTAGGAGATAATAAAGTACCCCTGAGGGAATATACATTACAATATTAACAGATCACCCACGAAGTACCACGCGATAAGTTTTTGTCTTGAAAAATCTGAACGCGTGTTTCACGCCTACAAAAAGAACTCAGATCATTGTAAAAAATTATCAAAGTTACGCACAAAATAAATCGCGGTCGGATTAAAAGGTTACTGAATGGCAGGAAAGATGACCCTTTTGTAAACACGTGCACTCAAAACAAAAGGTGCTATAAGCTTTAGTCAGATACATCATCAAGTTTGTTTGTTTGTCCGAATAATGATGTTTCTTTAAGCTTGAAAGAGAAATACTCCTGTTAAATATTTTGAAGAATCAGCTTACATATGCAAAATTAAAAAAAATTGGTATCAATTTGATATACCTGGCCAATTAAAGTCCCGACTTCTTCGAGGTACTGCATGAAAATACGTGTATTAAAACGCCCTTATTTTTTTGGCATCCTGTGTTGGACTGAAAACTTGGATAGAAAAGTTCAAGAGGATGCAAAAGCGTTCAGCTTCTACAACGGGCACCTTTATTAAACTCGATGAAGCAAACTTATTGTATTTGATCGTAGCGACTAGAAAAGAAAGAGTGCAATTTGCCCGTAAACGTGTCCTCTTCAGCTTATTAATACAAATCACGTCGCGATAATGTAGGGTGCGAGATTGCAACAAAGTTTCAAAAGCGCATATTTTTCTTAGAAACAAGTTCTGCCCTCATGTCACGTATGAAATACGTGCTTAAAAACCACCTCTTGTTTTTGCTGTCAGTGAGACATCAAGTTGAATTGTGTTTGATCGGCATTAACGTTTTTGATAATAACTTCAAGAGTAGCTGAATAAGTTTTTCTTTGATCGAAATGGCAGGATATTCATCAAGTCGACTATTTTCAATATTTTAAAATAGGGAACCCGAACAAGAACAAAGCATTGGATATTTGTTCAGCTTTAAGAAATAATCCCTAAGCATGTGTACCCGGGAGATCTGTATGTACACAGGCCAACATCACAGATCAGTTTTAATTAATTCAGCTATGTACACAAACCGGGCAACTCTCGTATTTTCGCGCGCAAATCATGTCGCCAAAGCGGTTTCTTTTTTTTTTTTTTTTGCTTGCGTTCTGAACTACACGACTGTGATGAGGTTCTGTGGCAGGAGTAAATCACGTTCAAGTAGTCGCTGCTTACCACGAGCGTTTTTTTCGGCCACATTCGGTTATATTTTCCTTGCACACTCGTAAAAGTTGCCTCCGTGATAACTTTGGGCCTAGCTTTATTATTGTCATATTGAAGCAAAATGATTGCAAATGTTGCACCATGTTTGCAAAACCGTGTGAAACAAGTTTTAATGTAACACGCAACAATACATGTAAGTATATATTATTGTTTGCTTCCACAGTCTGCAGATCGTGTATTGTGAAGTACTTGCAAGATAGCGAAGACAATAAGTGTCCAGCTTGCTCGATTCTCATTCATGAAACAAATCCATTTGAGATGCTCAGGTACTAATAGAGTCACACCTCTTTTTGTTATGTAGTCCTAGTGACTCTCGCAGGCGGAAACAGTCTGAGAACAGCTGCAAGTTAACACTCCTCAGGAAGTTGACGTCCAGTATGGGCGGGTCCGAAACCTACCAAAAGTATTCCAAGGGGCGTTTGTTACTGACAACTACAAAAGTCTGGTTTTTGATCAGGATCCCCAGCGTCCACAAACTGAATCTTGTATTGCTGGAATTATAAGCCAATGTGCGCTTAAAGGAGGTGTGTTTGACTACCCAGCCCTGTAAAATGACCCAAGACGTAGCGGGAGGATAAAAATATGTGCAAACAAATATACATGTGGCTACTTTTGTCTTATTTTAACAAGCTCGTCAACAATAGCGCATTTGATATTTGTAGGTCATTTATAGTTGCATACGTGCTTCAACACAGCAACAGTGTAATTCTCTATTAAATCTTAAAATTGTTATAGAAAGACAAAAGATGGTGAAATTGTGTGTTCTGTTAACAGGTCAGACCAAACACTTGAAGACGTTATCTATAAACTTGTTCCCAAACTTCAAGAAAGTAAGCGGTACAAATCTATGTCTTTGGGTGTCCACTATCGAAACAAACGTAGATTTAAAAGTACAAAGTGTCCGATATATTACAGGTAATTAACTACTTAGTCTTTAATGAGATAATTGGTGCGTAATGATCGGTCAGTGGGCAGAGGGCTCGACTCTGATTGGCCGAGAGGTCCGGGTTCATGCATGGTCAATCTTCTTCATGGTTGGCTTATGTATGGCTTATTCCACTCTTCTAGTGCCCCTGTCCACCTTGGAGTATAAATCGAGACTGGTAACTATCGCGGCAACCTCCTGTGGAATTAAAAGTTTAAGTCTTTACTGTACCTTTCAATAACATGCGGACTCTAAAATTGAAAGCTCAACCGACAAATACGTTTTTCGCTAATGTTCGGCGGCTCCTCCCAGCTTCCGACTACTGCCGAGCGGGCGGTAATCAAATCGTTGAGCACAGTTCAGACAACGAAACCCCTGCAACAAAACAGTGCTCGGCAGCGAAAAACGCATTTGTCGGTTGAGCTTTGAATTTTAGAGTCCGCATGTTAGTGAAAGGCTCAGTAAAATGATAAGCAACGGGCTTGGAGAGGCCTTCTGTTAGTCACGTTCTTATTCATAAGACTCTCTAAGAAACTGGAGAGAGTGAAATAGTTGTCACTGGAATTTTGTGTGCATCGATCATTACCTGGATCACTACAGCAATCCACATCGACTAACAATGCTTAAAGAATGTTGCTATAATTGTTTCAGATGAGCAGAAGAGGGAAAAAGAATTTAATGAACAACACAACTCTGAAGAAGAAAAGAAATCAAAGAAAGAACCTAAAGACAACAGAGAGACAGGTAAATATTTTTTCGCGAGTTTTTACTATTTTGAGTATTTTTTTTTTTTTGCTTATTTAAGTTTAATGTATTCTTTTGCTGTATGATATTCTCTGTATTATCCAAAATAAAATGGTTGTTGTTGTTGCTGTTATTGTAGAAGAATCTCGTCAGTATCTGAGTAAGAAGTCTAAACAGAAGTATTCTTTTTCAAAATCTCTGAATCTTTTCCAAATTTTTACGTTTTATTATTACAATTACCCGAATGACAGTTTGTCACGTTGATCAGTGTACGAAATTTTATCAGCTCAGCCAACTAACTTAAGAATTCGTCCGGACAATCGACGAATTAACTCAAGATTTCCGACAAAACATTGTCGGTAATACCGTAATTATAAAGAGCTTTGTTCTAAATCATATACTAGATTTTTAGCCGTAAAAGCACGAAAAAAACATCGAGAGCTCCGTTCTGTTTTCTTTATCTCCTGATCAGCCCCTGATTCAAAAACTGACGAGCCAGCGAGTAAGCGAGTGAAGCTGTCAGCAGAGGATCAAGATAGCAAAGAAAACTATCACCGGGATGACCCACAGATTGGAGTCTGTCTGGAATGTCTGAGGTAAATAAGTGGCTTCAGAACGTTTATTACTTCATGACAAGCTTAGTTGATAACGTGTAATAACTACACTCACTAATCCGACTTCCCGAATCCCTTTTATCAGTCACCACCTTCGTTGGTTTGCTATATACAAAGAAATTTTAATGACGTAAGTACATCATAAAAAACTTATGAAGAAAAGAACATTTTTAATTAAACGATGTACCCGTAGTACAGATCGTTTCGCCCTTATAGATAAAAAAAGAACAAAGTCAGTAAGGAGCAGAAATTAAAACGTAATAGGTTCCAAAATGCGATATTTGAGGTTTGTGTTATTTGGATAGCGAGTGTTGATACGAATCACAACTGAGTCTTTTTCCAGCCGACATGCCGAGAAATTCGAGGTCTTGTTTGTAAGAAGCAAATGTTTTGCAAGCCTGCTTGACAGTAACTGATAACAAGGCAATGTAACTTAACTTCATGTTGATCTGATTTAGTGACAACTCAGTTCAAGAGCAGCCCGTGAGAGAACTGGTACGAAAATACATCCGCTGTTCATCACGACTGACAATAGCACAAGTCAAGAAATTCCTGAAAGTCAAACTTGATCTTAGAACCGCTGACCAGGTATGTGATTTGCGGACAGTTGAACCGCTCTGAATTAACAAAACAACCGGTCTGACTAGTTTACAGTTGTTGGATTGATATTACCTAGACTTAAAAATTTCTTTTGAAAGGCAACCATTTCATGCAAAAACTGTTTTTCATTCTTAAGTTAAATTTTCTCTCCAGGTTGAAGTGATGTGTAACGGAGAGATCATGGGTAAAGATCACACACTGGAGTTTGTGTACATGACAAGATGGAGGGTGAAGGTAAGAGAATGTGCTTGTTTTTTGAGGGAATAAAGTTTCAAAGTTCAACTGAGCCAAAACTCCGATTAACAACAGTGCAAGACTTCAACCTGTAATTTCACGTAAGGTCGGGTTATTTTGGATCAGAAAAAAGAAAAATAAACACTACATTCTACAACGAACACATGATTTATGCACACACAAATGAAAGACAATATTTCGAGCGTCTAGAGCACTGTCTTTCAAACCCACATGTCCTAGATATTTTTATTATAATAATATATTGGTGTCATTTTCAAGGAGGGAACTGTCCTCACTCTCCAGTACAGACCAAGAATGGATTTCCTTTGAGTGCAGTTCCCAGGAGGCAGCGAGCGCTCACAAGACTGATGACTACCAAGTGCAGCTCACGACAGCTATCTATTGCGACAGTGTAAATAGAAGTTAATATATTTATTAAGAGAGAAAGAGAGATATTGTACACAGTACGTCAAGAATGATGTAGTTATAAGAATATTAGTAAGAATTTAAAATTTGGCAGTTACCACTCTAGACACGGACAATCCGGATACGAAAACACAAGGAAAACAGTATGATGCTAACCTTAGACGGATAATCCGTCTGAAGGATTTTGAGCATGGATCATCAATGTAAGACGGATAATTCGTCTTGAATTAACGCCAGGAGGGATAAACTCAAATGCTCATCTTGTCCTGAAAAATCTGGGACTAGAAACAGCGCATTGACACATGGCGCCTAAGGTGCAAAGAGAAAGGGGCAAAGAAACAAGTACACATCTAGAGAGAGGATGAAGTCTTCCTTTTCGCAATCGTTTTGTCTTTCTGAAAGGCAGAGACAAACCCTAGACTCTTGTCCAGGAAACTGTAGCTTTGAAGAAGACTGTCCTAGCAACACATCACTAGCTGCACAATACAAGAAGTGTTGGCCCTTATGCGTTTCAAGAGATGGACTTCGCGAACCTCTTCGAAAGAATATTGAATTGTCTACAAGTTTTCGTTTTCTCTTGGTTGAAATGAGAAAGCACAGGATGGTCACCATATTCAGAGTTGTGGAACTGTTCAAACCCATGTGTGAATCAGAGATGAGAAAAACTCGAAGAGTTTATTCGTCTCAATTTCACATCAAGACGGATTATCCACCCGACGGATTGTCCGTCTTGACGGATTATCGGTCTCTAGTTTGAAAACAGCCAATGAGATGCAGAGTAACTAACTCTCGTGTGATTGCACGCTCAGGCTTGCCTTATTCTCTATTTTCCATTTCCCCATAATTCACTCTGTTTGCCCCACCCCCCTTCCCCCTCCCCCTCAATTTTGCTTAAACTTATGTTGTCAAATGCTCTTGGGAATATGCGCAGACCTCCCAAGAGCATTTAAAAATAATAGTTTATGCAAAATTTGGGGACCAAACACAGTGAATTATGGGGAATTGGAAAATACAGAATGGACTGTAATCGTGCGACGAAGGTGCGGAATGGCATCACGCGAGTAGAACAAAATTTTAAAATGTTAAGAGATCTTTTACGATATAAGCAAGTAAGCAATTACGTGCGATACACAACTTACAAACATTGCTTTTGTATGCGATTTATAGCAGAACAACTTAGTAATAAAACTACATTAAAACAATAAAGCTAAATAGATTTTATCTCCGAATTAGTGGTTTTAGTACAGAAAAAATTTTACATCTATAATACTATATAGAGAAACGTGAGGCATATTGCAAACACAGCTCTTGGCACCTAAAACAACAAACTATCTTGCTATCAAGGCGGCGATGGGTTTAGGCCGGCCATGATAGCAGTTTTAGTAAAATGCAAAACTAGCCATTCGGTCTGTTGGTGTGTGGGGCAGACATTGGAATTCGAAACAAGGCAGTCCTCTGAAAATCAGTACGTCCCAGTAGCCAAGCATCTGAGCTAGCCAAAATCATCATGTTATGGAATTATTCTTGACTCCAGACCATTTCTACTACAGTAGTGAAATGATGGCTAAAGCTGCGAAAAAATATTAGAAATGATAGAAAGACAACTGAAATTCGCCGGTTTTAACTTGTCTGCCCCCTCAGAAATCACAAGCCCAATTTCCATTATGATGAGAAAATAAACATGACTGGCGCCCTATCCCAACAAGTGCATATCAGTATATAGGTATGTAGGAATCTAAGCATAGAACAGGTGTTGCATAAACATTTTCTCGCAGTTCGCATTTTAGCTTTCGACTTCCATCAAGCGACTTCAAATGACCTAGTTTCTTTTCCCAGAAGACAAGGATAACCTACCGGCGACGAAATTGTAATCAGTAATGAAGCATAACAAGGATCTGTGTAGCCTGAGTGAAAATATTTTTGTCTTTGCTCCTCGTCCAGGCTTATACCAGAATGTTTTCGCATGACGTCACGGCAGCCATATGGTGTCCTAAAGCATAAAACGGCAGCCATGTTGGTGTACCAAACCAATCCAACGGAAGTTGAATTCTTTTCCTAAAAACACTTTTTGTTCCAACACATTTGCGTGACTGCCGACTACGTGAGTAAACGTTCTATACTATTTTTCAGTTAGGTTGTCTGCAGAAGAGGCCGATGATACCAGGACATAGACCTGGCATGGAAATAATTATTCCAAGAAAAGGACTATCTAATATCAATTTTCAGTTTTGTCTCCGGTTTATAGACAGGAAATTGCAGTAAATGTTTGCGTCATTTTTCCCAATGACTGGGAAAATGGTGTGAAGAAGGCTGGGATTTTCATTCTTGAGTAGCAAAATGGAGATTATATCTGACACAAGCCCTGTGGAAAGCCACAACTGAAGTGTGACCACTGTAGCTTCAAATGTTTTTAAGTAAGCAAAGATTCAACTCACCTCTGGCATAGACTTTCTAGGAGTAGAAAGAAAGTGCAGGGTTAAAACGTTTCCTGCTATAGCGAATTGCCTCCTGATAATTGTTTCGTTGGAAAATTATACTTTTAAAGAACTAAGGGTGTGTGCTTAGCGCCTGCTTTGTTTGCTGCGTGTTTAGTTGATAGTTAGGCTTAAGAAATTTCACAGCCTGTGATCGCGCAAACATAATTTTTTAACACAACGCAAAAGTTTAAAAGTCTTTCTTTCGTTTCCTTACCTCTTTCGTCGTAATTTAACTTCACCAAGAGCGTTTTTGGAAAATACTTCTTTTGTTGCCTCTGAGCAAGTTAATTAGATTGTCGAAAACTCCGCAGACAAGAAGAATGCTGAAAGGTCGGCAAACGAACTTCGTAGATTATTACGTCATAATTGAACTTCAATGACGCAAGCAAATCAAGCGCGCGCGAATTATGCTGTGATCAAATCATAGATTGAACTTTTGTTTTGTAGTTTCTTACGTCCTCTTTACTCATTTCTCTTACTCATCTACTCGTTACTCATTAACTCGGTAGTCGTAAAAGATTAAAATTTAGCCAAAGAAAAACGTTTATCTGCTGCTTAATAATTATAAGAAAGAGTAGGAATTGTAGGCTGAGTAAATTAAGAATTTAATTATGTCAACTGCGCTTTCGGGTTCTAAAGCCGTAGGAACTGCTGGAGTCGTGAGGTAACGAGATTAATTTCTTCATTTTCTAAAAAAAGAAACAACTGATGTTATTAAATCCGGCCTTACTTGTTGGACAAATCATGGGGCCCACTCATAGACTGAGAGGATTTGTTTTATATGGTATGGCATTGTTAGCTATCGTTGCGCCACTGCTTTGGTGGGACGAGGTCGAACCAAAATATTCCAAATCCAGCCATAAATTAGGCCACATCAAGTCAGTCAATTGATGCCGCAAGATTTAAGGGCAGTAAGTTATGAGAACCTCAGCAACAACACCAACAATATAACAACAACAATAATAATAATGATAATAATCTCTCCTTATTGTTATTATCAGGTCTTATCACTATTTTTTAGCAACGTTTTGCTAACAAATTTACAGTCTTTATTTCTTTTTAATTTACATAATGCTGGTTAAGTTTCGTATCCCACTTCATTTGGTTTACCAAAAAATCAATGCAACCTCGTCGCTGTAGACATCTTCGTCACCAGTCCTAATTTGTGCGTCATGTGACGCACTTCGACAAAACCAATCACAGTATGAAAATAGAGATTTACGAAAAGTCAAAGTTGGCTTGAATCTCCATAGTTAAGCTTTACGCTATAACTTAAGGTTACTTCAAACCTTCGCGGGGTATGTTGGTCGATTTTTTTTGGTCAAGAAAATTAATGTCCGCGAAGCACAAGTTTGCATACTGTGAACGCCAGGGGTTCTATTATTTCATTGGCTCGCGGCTTTCAAGTTGACACATTCCTCTGTGAAGGCGTGATATGTTTATAAATCTTTAGAAGGCGAAAACTCGCACTCGTTTTTCGAGAGAAACCCCTCTCTTTAGATGAACTAATAGGGTATGCAGATTTGACGGTTTTCCATGAAACTTGGTCAGAACATTCACTGAT